TAGAGGTCCTCATGTTACGAGGATGGTGGGAGCATAATCAAAGTTTGGAGTTCCAAGTTGAAATCAACATCCTAAAAATTGAAAGAAACGAGTTTGTTCTTAGTAAAGTCTATCATACACTGCCGCCAAAGCCGAAAAGTTTTAAGAATTCATCACATCAGAAATTTAGCGTCCAGAAACTAATTTGGAGTCAAGGAGCCTTGATGCGTTTTTACTGCTCTTGAACTGTGTCCCCTGTATAGGCGGAGATGGTGTGGTGGTAAGTGATCCGCTTACCAGGAGGATAAGAACCCTTCCTTGAACATGGCCTGGTGCCCGCAAGTCATTATGTTGGCCAGATCGCACTGGTCACCGGCGAATGCTTTATTCTAAACTTCACCCTTTATTATCGACAAGATAGTCTGAAAAGGCGGAACCGGGAGAGAGACGTCATGAGTGAGGTGGATGACTCACATTTTCGCTCAGGGAGATAGAAAGACTAGAAAACCAATTATTTCGATTTCGTTCACAATTCTTTTCTTTTTCAACAAACAATGAATGAACATAAGAAATATGATTCTATTTTCTTGTTTCTCGCATTTGTCATTCTTGGTAGTAATAAGGGAAAGAGTGTTCATTTTCGCTTTCGTCCTCATTGAATTTTTGACCACATTTTGGCTAGCAAGAAAGCACACCTACTGGGAACATGACGAGGCTTTGATTTGATTTAATCTGATGCTTATCAGTAGCGGAATTTATTAGTCTGCATTCATACTTTGCGGCAGCGTCGATCAGCAACCATCACCATTTCAAGCGTCCGTCAGCGTCAGCGGCTAGGGAAGTATAGATATCGATCTAGCGAACGACAGCGTGTACAGCGTCCGCCAGCGTCCACCAGCGAACATAAGCGCTCACCAGCACTCACCAGCGACGGGAGCACGGCATTATGGAGTAGTGAGTGCGGTTAAAGGCGCTATAATTTCACGACGCTTAATCCAGCTGTCTCCTCTTTCCTACTTCCCCATACTCTCTACTCCTGGTTGCTAGTAGACGCCGCCGTTCGCTAGATCGATACCTATATTTTCCTCATTGCTGACGGACGCTCGAAACGTGAAGGGTCGCCGACGGGCGCTGGTGGAGGCTGCCGCAAAGTATGGTCGCAGCCTCAGTGACGCTGTGCTGTATTAGGCTTTGCGTAAGCCATACACAGAACAGGGGAAAAAATTAAACACATTTCTGGGTTATTCCCTTTCATTTCATTATAATAATTCTATTTCAGAAAACAATTGACAATCTCCATTACACGTCGTACGTGGAAAAGCGAGGACGTCTACCGAGAAGAGAACAACAGAAAAATAGCCGAAAATGCAATGCCCAACTCTAGCACACTGAGTCTCCGCTCGTAAGTACTTACTTAACGTTCATTCTCCATCTGGATAGTAGTAATTTTTTTCTATGAACTAGTAAACAGTCATTACACGCATGCGTTCACATGACTATCGTTTCTGATGGCGTGCAGGTGCTCGAGCACATGTAGCGCACTTCCCATAGGGGGCGACCGCGTGTTTCCTGATTATGCCCTTCTATTTCGACGACTTCCTCCTCATTCTGACATTCAAATGTAAAATCACCAGGTTCTGTACTTTGAAAAGGCAGAGAAGGGAGAGTCCGGACAAAAGCCCTTCTCAGAGACGTGATCAAAACTCCTGCATGCACAGGAGTATCACACATACACTGTTACCGTCAGAACAGTACTTAACAGGAGCTCAAAAATGTGGGAATATCACGTGGCCGAGTGGTTAAAGCGATGGACTGCTAATCTAATGCGGTTTCCCCGCGTGAGTTCCGAACTCCTGATAGGAATTTTTGCAAATGCACAGGAGTTCACATATAGTTGCCTTTAGCGTTTCATTTCAGAGATTCGTTAGGCACAAGAACCTTCTTTGGTGTGCGGTTCTGCGGAACGTTTTGGCATGAGATGAATGTGTAGAGAACGAGTAGTTCTGAGACTCTTGGTCTTGGTTGCGGGGTCTGTTCAAAAACAGAGTGCGTGAGATGGTACAGAGGTTGAAGAGTCCCCATTCAGAAACCGGAAGATAATTTGAGGTTGGAAATTCAACCAGGTCTTCAAAATAGAAAGGCGTGTAACCATGGCAAAGCAGAAGAGATTGACCCGTCTTAGCCCCGTCATTGGGGGCTAATGCCGTTTGGACTCCAGAAATTTCGTCTTCGAGCTCATTTTCAAATTGCCTAAGTCACCAAATCCACTAAAAACTTGTATATAGGGGTAATTCAACATCCTGATTACGAGTATGACACTCATTCTTGGCGCTGGCGCCAAGAGAGGACACTACGATTACCTCCTGGCTCAGCCTTAGCAGAGCGCAGGTAACCGTAGGTAATCGGCGCCTGCCGCCGCAAAAATGACATGTATATATTCACAGGATGTTGAATTACCCCTATATACAAGTTTTTAGCGGATTTGGTGATCTTGCCACTTTTAAAATGAGCTCGAAGACGAAATTTCTGGAGTCCAAACGGCATTAGCCTCGTTAGATCAATCAGGTGGATGTTCCTAGTCAGAAAGGAAGCAGATCGGGGTGAAAAGCTTAGGACTGCTGCTCCCACAAAGCTATTCCTGTGACAGAATAGATGCCATCGGTTCTTGATCTGTACTGAACCCTGCTCAACTTCGTCAGGTTTTTCGCATCTCGAGTTTTTTGAGAGCAAACTAATATTGTTCAAATTCTCAACTGAATTCTGATTTGATAATTTTTCTTTTGAATTCAAAATTCCAAAATAAATTTTTTCAAGTAGATGAGCAGCATCGAACATTTCGATCGTGGCTAAACCACACTTCAGCCAAATCTTGCTCCTAAAAAACGGAGCTTTTCAATTCCGCATTTTCAACGTCACTACCCATGGACAGTTCGACTTTTCCTATTTCGCCAAAATTCCAGAAAACTAATGGACCTTAAAAAATTTCTCGGGGCGCTGTCAGGCATGGGGGGTGCAAGTCGGTAATTTGCCAGCTTCTTGAATTTCCTAACCTGAAATCTTTCAAACTCACGGGCTGTCGGTCGGTGTCAGGAGGTATGAAACAAGCACACGGCAGTGGTATTTCTATCGCGGCTTCTTTTCAATTCTAATAGAGCGCCAACCAATAACTATTGGTAGGAATGGCAGCCGGAGGCGGACTCTTTTCACTCCTCCTGACACCGCCCCTCTGATTGCGACGACGTCAACCATACAAATTTCGCTGAGTACCATATCAATGTTTCACAGGAGTTTACACGAGCTAGTAAAATGCCCCACCCTAAGTCGAACAGATCCTGCTTGTGTTTTTTCGTTTTATTGGGCGAAAAAAATACAAGGGAATCTGTTCGACTAAAAACCGCAACCTGTGATGGCAGCAGGTTACTATAGAGCCGCGAAAGTGGGACAATCTTCACGATGGCACACCGGCCTACTAAGGCAAGGAAGGAATTCTGAAAATTGGTTGAGCGCCGGGTCTGTCTTCACGGTGTCCCAAGAGCAAGCCCATGACACTGACCACATAGAAAGGGCCAATCGCCAGAAAAAGTCAATCCTTCAGCAGCAACCTTTCGAATCAATTTCATATCAGGAATGGGATGGAGCAGCAGCTGTCCGTGGATGCAGCGAACTCATCTCTTGATATCAGTCCGAAGAGATGTCCACAAATCTGCCTCAGTCCGAAACACAAGAAGATTCTGCGGGTGAGGAGCTTTTCCTAGTAATCTTCTTAAAATCTAGGGCGAATCGATTTCAAGTCCTTTGTTCATCATCTGAAGTGTGTTGTCTGTTAGCCTCGCAAGGGTAAACAATCATTTCCAGAGCACATTTGCACAAATGAACTCCGGCGGCACATTCCTGAAGTTGATAGAGCAGGTGTTTCGACGTCTAGAAGCGAAATACCCCGATATCAGGTTGGAATAATCATAGTGTTTGGAATAGGTTTAACCCACTAACACTGAGAACTTAAGGTCAATTTTTCTGACGACAGCTTTCGTAAATTCGCTCTCCCGAGAGAAAATTTCTCCATCCGTGGTTCGAACGGAGCACGACCACTGCAAGTGCTTGGTAAGTCTCGTTCCTTCAGTGTTTTCATTTAGGGTCCCAGCGCCGCAATAAAATGACTTGAATGTGTCTGAGTGCCGTCTCTTTCATTTTTTTTCCGATCGTAGAGCCTGAGGGAGTCCTGCCATTGTGAAGAGAAATGCAGATAGGTGACCGGGACTAGCGGAAGATAGGGTACATCATCGTTAGGAATTCCTTGATGACAATTTCCGGATCAAGTATCATGGGTAGTGGGTGTTCAATTAGGAACAAGTAGCCGACAAATGACTCCCTAGGAAAGAAGAAAAGCAAAAAAAAAACTCAAAAAAAGCCATGAATCTCAGCCCCTTTAACAGTCGACGAATATGCAACTGCCAGAGCAGCATACTTGGTTGTAAGTTTTCCAAAAGTAATTCTGTGCAGATGCGAATCAAAGAAAACTTAAGAATCAGTCGATGTTTAAACTAAGGAGATATATACGCATTCGGCCATCCTACTATATATAATCCGCTAAGTATGTCTGTCAGCGTGTGTGTGTGTTTGTGTGTGCGTCTGTCTGTCTGTCACGAAATTCATAGCGAGCGTCGCAGAAAAGATAGGATGACAGTTCCAAGAAGTGATATACACGGCAGGACGGGAACACTTTTGGTGGGTGACAGAAGGTGATAACACCTGATAAGATTCGATAAGGGGCCTTAGAAGGGAGGGTGACCGAGCTCATAGTGCAGGACACAGTAACAGTGGGACATTGGTTCCAAGGTATGATATAGGGTGTGGGACAGGAACATTATTGGTGGGTGGCAGGGAGTGATATCAGCTGATAAGATCTGAAAAAAGGCGTCAGAACGGGAGGGGCACCGAGTCCATAGTGCCGGACACAGCATCAGCCAAGCGTTGATTTCGGAAAATGATATAGAGTGGGAGATGGGGATATTGCACGTGAAAGGAGGTGATATGCTGATAGGAGCTGATAAGGAACGTTGTCATCGTTGTTCAGTCAACTTGCTGGAGCCTTTACACTACAAAATTTTAGTGATAGGGACATTGATGACGGGTGACAGGCAATCTTATCAATTGATAAGAAAGGATAAGGGACATTCTCGTTACATCTCTTATCACTATACTGCCAAGTATTGAAGGCTCAGAGAGTGGGGGGAACAAAAAAAATCTCACTTCATGCGTTCAATAGCTCAATAGCTCTTTTTCCCTTTGAACATACAATTACTGATGAGAACGAATAACAAGGGAGTATACTACCTACTAATAATTATACTTCAGGGAGCGATTTCATGCTAATTGAAAAGGGAAACATTCATCGGTAGGCATTTCGGTGCAGGTGATGGAAGCGATATCTGTTCTTTTACTGAGCGATTCACATTGCGCTGTATTGGCCGACTACACATTGTATCTATTCTACAGATTTATGTATTGTATGGGCGTATGGCGCGGACCACACCCCTGCTGCGAGTAGGAGCGTGTGCTAAGAAGTGCAGGATCCTAGGCTTTGCTCTGTCTGTTACGATTCGATCACTACAGCGCAGCGTTGAAAAAGCCATAAAAAATATGGAGCGCACCTGGCGAAGCCAGGCCAGCTCGGCGAAGCCTAGCTAAAGAGAAGGAGGAGAGCTCGGCGTCAGCCGGGCGATCCGACTGGTTTATGAGTAGAATTTGCCGAACTACTGCTTAGAATACCGTCATGAATTGTGAGTGGATTCCCGTTCCGCCAGTAGTCCTTCATCTAGAACACAAGGGTTACGGTAACTTTGCTGTGTTCTCAGTTTACGACTTATTGCAGCTGTTTGTTGCCCTCAACCAGCTATCCTACTGCCACGGCGAAATCCTCCACCATTTCAGGTGTCAATGTTCGAGAAAATCATGGAAAATTTGAGCGATACGAGTACCCAGTTGAATCCATTAAGCCTTATACGCACCTATGGTGAGAAACACGCACAGGTACGGTGTATTTCTTAAATCACACATCATTCAAACATTTTCTGTGATTATACCCGAATCTGCGAAGTCGTAGAAGATGCCACTAACACCTTCTACAGGGATCAACTGTGGTACCCAATGTGCGCTAAGACTGAAGGAAAGGTGGTTAAAAATCGAAAGGTTTTGCATCGACAGAAGGGATGCTTTGGCAAATGTGATGTACAGTTACGACCACATGATGTACAATTTTCGGAGTCATCTTACATTAGCATATACAGTCGTGGAGGCGGAGGGGGTATGGTCCTAATCCGAAAACTTTATCCCTTATCCTGTATACAGTCAGGGTCGTCGCATCCTTGTGTGAAATACAGATGGAGGGAGTCGTACTTTTCCGCTTGGGAAGGGGGGGGGGGTCGTATGTGCGTTTGAGAGAAATTTGCTGCGTTGGAAAAATTTTTCCCGGTTGTTGACTTTTCGCGTGATTTTGCCTGTTTCATGTGTACTGTATACCCCTCCCCACCACCTCCTCTCCTGCTCGAGCAAAATTTTTGAAGAAATGTAGGAAATTCTCGGTAAATTTCGTAAAAAAAGGTACGAAGTTGGGGATGATTGAAGAAATTTTCCCGTTTCACACTGGCTCATTGGCTATATGCCCCCCTCCCGCTCGGCGGAAAACTTTTGGGTAAAAAGCTGGAACTTATGGGAAAGCGGTATGGTAGGTAGGTGTTGGGAAAGTGGAGGGGGATTTGTAATAGCACCCTCTCTCGGAGGGGGGGGGACATAATAGCACCTACACTACCATTTCACACATCACGATGCTGTATCCTGTACACAGTCATGACCGTTGTACAGAGGACGTGTGGAGGGACGTAGATCGGAGCGCAATTGAGCAGCATTTTTTCACCGATTGATACCATCCTCAGTCCACAACACGCCTTCTCGTTTGCAGAGGTATTGACTGTAAGTGTATGAGCATGCGATTTAGTAAAATTATAAGCGCTGATTAGACATTAGCAGCTTTAACCATCATCTTCCAAGAGTGGCCATAAGAGAAAAACGCTAATACTGCGACTCCTATATCAACAAAACCTCTATAGAAGGGGCTGTTTCAGGTTGATATTGACTCCCTTTCGGGCCAACCAAACCTTCCACCCCTACGAAATCGACTGATTCCCTAGGGTGAAGCATTTACTTGCTTATTAGTTGGCTATCGTAAGTTACCGTACATTCACAGTCGAGTGCACGATTTTGAATGGGGGTAGTGTCTGGCATTCCAAAAAGGGATTGATTGAGCACCACAGGCTTTTTAAATTCTGTCACCTTCTAAGATGGGCCTCAACATTTTTGAGCGACTTGCTGATGCCAGCCCATGTTTGAGTCGTTGCCTTTATCCTACCAGAGAAAGGTGATATTAATGAAATACGGCCAAGATGGGCGGCTTGTTCGACCTTTCTTCCAGGGATGAGAACTCGAGGCATGTGTGTTGTACACCACACCACCTATCACTACACTATGTCCACCAACATATTCGTTAACAGATCTTGTAGAATATGATATTGTTTCAGATGAAGGAAAGCGGCATGTGTGGAAGTATGATCGAACAATTTGGTGAAACCGCCGTTGCCGTCATTGCATCGCAGGCGAGTTTTCAGCTTTTTTTTGATTACATGTGTTAGGCAACCATCCTCCAGAAATCTTCAAAAAACCGTGAACCCTCCCCCTCCCTGGCCCTCAGCAGTTGGATTTCGGTCGTCCATAAGGATTCCCCCCCACAGTCCCCCTCCCTCCCTCAGCAGCTTGATCAGGGGAGGGGAACTGTGGGGGAAGTCTTATGGACTCGACCGAAATCACCAGCAATGATGATGATCTGCCCTGTAGATCTGCATCGTTCTATCGGTAGCAAGTCAGAAGAGCGCTATTTTGCAGAAGAGAACCAATGACCAGCTGTGGGCGTCAAGCCTGGGAGGTGGGAGGGGGCACTTTGGCGTTTTTACCGGTTCCTTTGTCAGTGCGTTAACTCGCACACTTATCTTTGCTGAGCCTGTACTATTGTGATGCTGCGAAATGGGACAAGTGAGTCACATTAGTCCCAGGGCATTTATAGGTTTTAGTAGTGGCTTCGTCTCCACCAAGCGAACAGCGCCGACAGTATGGTTCAGCGTTGCCATAAGCGCTCCTCTTTCACCATTGGGTATTAGGGTTGTCCGGGCAGGTTCTCGGCCGTTTGTGACCGGATGTGTTACTATTTTTTTGTACATTCATTGCTGATTAAAAACCTCTTTCTTCCATTTGGCTTATCTCAGTAGCTACCATCCTGAAGAGAATTTTTTGCGCATATTCTACGGATAGTATTAATTGCCGTTTCATCATTGCTTGATTTTAACCTTCTCCCAAGACTTTTTTTGAAGCAATGTAAAAAGAGAGCAATTCCCAACCGGATATTTATTCGCTTACAGAATTTGCTCAATCCGCAGTCAGAGCCTCGAAATTACCCAGGTGTGGGGCCCATCAGTCAGTATTGCGAGAAAGCAGCGTGCAGACAACATGAATGGCACAAATTGTGTCTAGAAATTCAGCCTGAAGTACAGCTTTCGTGAGCTGATCGAACCTTAAAAGCAATACTGACGAAGATGTTGAAGGCATTTGGTGGAGGTGACCCATTCCCAAAAACAGGTTCGAGAGATTGGCAGAAAAGTGGCCGGCGGTTGGCAAATCGCCACGTTCGCGGGGTGTCTGAAGATAGCACTGGGAAGAAGTGAAAAAACTCGGACAAGTGGGTGCCCCACAACGTTGAGTGCACCGGATCCGGGAAATTGGCACGTCTCGAGGTTTCTTCTTCACTGCTTTTGCACAACAGAAACGACCCGCTTTTGGACCGAATTGTCACGTGTGATGAAAAGGAGATCATGTATGATAACAGGAGACGTTTCGGACAGTGGTTGGATGCCGGCGGACCCCTGAGGCAATTTCCAAAGAGGTCGAAGTCCTCACGAGGGGAAAAAAGATTATGGTTCACGTGTTGTGTGGTCACGGCCGGTGTGATCCCACTACGAACTTTTGTTACCAGGCCAAACCGGAATCAAGTAGGATCCTACTGTGTAAGAGATGCGACGAAATGCTACCCGAAAATTGCGTTAGCTGCGAGCAGCACGTTGTCAATGGAAAGGTCGATTTCTTTTTGCATCGACAACGAGCCCGCCCACCACGTATTCACAGACGTCGACTATCCATAAATTGAACGAATTGGGGGTTGAAGTTCTACCTCACCCGCCATATTCTCCAAAACTTTCAGTAACCGACTATCACCTTTTCAAACATTTTCAGAACTTCCTTGCTTAGAAGATAATTTTTCATCAGTCAGACCAGGGCAAAGTAAGCCTTCCAGCTGGATTTCGTTGGATTCATCCACCCAGTTCTTTTCTTGATGGGATTTATCGACTGGTGTCACATTGGCAAAAGTGTGCTGATTCGAACGGTGCTTATTTCGATTAAATCCGATGAGTATTAAGAAAGTTATGATCGTTTAAAGTGAAACACTCAAAACGCTGAGAACTTTCCGGACAACCTAATAGAAAACGCAGCCCGGGTGGGATCACTCCACCACTCCTGCCACCGCGCCTAATGATTGCAAACGATATCACTTTCCAATGAATGATCAGTTTTTTGAGATAATACGGCTAACTTGCAAAATACCATCATCTATATTTAGCTCTGAGAGGAAATCTGCGTATATTGAATTCTTTCCTCTAAAACAATTGGATTTCAGGACGCGATCAAATACAATCATGATGCGGTGAAGGCGTGGCGCCTGTTACTCGCTTACGTGACGGACGAGATGATGGTCGGTTTCGATCGTCTGAGCCGAATCTCGGAGAGGAAATGCAGCGCCAGTCTGAGTCTTTTGAGAACGTAGACCAACCATCTACGTTCAATTCGCGTAACCATGATTCGTGGTGAACCAGCTCTCGGGAGACAGCAAGCAGCACTCGCCGAGCCGATGTAGGCCACACTTCGTCCGCCTACTTGGGTAGAAGAAGCTCATCTATACGTACCTCCTTCTCCACATGATACTATCCATTTCAGAGTTCAATCAATTTTAATAAATTTATGGAATTCGGCGACAGTTGACCACAACTATCCGATGCTCACTAAAGTGCTATCTGATGTTCTCATTTGATGCCCTGACTATCAGTACTATCAGAAAAAGATATGATATTCGACAAAAAGAAGCTTACCACTGGAATCACACCATGAAACGTACCGTATCAATATAATGAGTTACCTAGATATGTTCAGCGTATGGCTTGCCTGAAAATGTCAAGGTTTAATTATCATTGGCAACTAAACATGTGGGTAAAGTCATTATTCCTGAACAACAGCGCGCGTAAAAAGGGAGGGGAGACTGGAGCGCAGCTAGAGTAATTATTTGGTATTTGTAGAGCAATTATTGCAGGCTCTGGATGGCATCATTGGTGGAAACGATCGCCTAGGCTGCGCTCCAATCCACGTCCACTCGTTCGTCCTCTCCTTTGCAGGTATAATGACTGCACGGTCGTTTCACAGACGTTTCACACTGGGGCGTGCCAGAGGGCTGGGCTCGGCGCCGCGCCTGTGCGTTCTCCCCCAATTATTGAAGCGGGCAAGCGACAAATACTGGTGGAAGAAGTCTCCCTGACATGCCTCAGCTGTAACGAACGACTATAGATATCCTGCAGCTTGCAAAGGTCGAAAATATCTTACGCAGAAACCTCGTACATAGGATTAATTGGTGCTCCCGATCACGCTTCATTCATCTATTGGGTTGGCACATAAGTAATGGCGTTTTTTTCAATTGAAAATTTTTTCCAAAAGTGAAATTTCG